TAGAGTATCCTGGGTTGAAGTTATTTTCATTCAGTGCCCGGAAGATCTCACCCCACGCTCTTCTTGCTTTTAATGTTTCTGTTGAGAAGTCTGCTGTGATTTTGATGGGTTTACCTTTGTATGTTACTTGTTTTTTCTCTCTTACAGCCTTCAATATTCTTTCCTTAGTTTCTGAACTTGTTGTTTTAATGATGATATGTCGTGGTGTAGTTCTATTTTGATCTGGTCTGTTTGGTGTCCTGGAGGCCTCTTGCATCTGTATGGGAATATCTTTTCTCTAGATTTGGGAAATTTTCCGTTATTATTTTGTTGAATATATTATGCATTCCCTTCGCTTGCACCTTTCTCCTTCTTCTTGATGCCCATGATTCTCAAGTTTGGTCTTTTGATGGAGTCGGTGAGTTCTTGCATTTTCTTTTCACAGGTCTTGAGTTGTTTAATTAATAGTTCTTCAGTTTTTCCTTTAATTACCATTTCATCTTCAAGTTCTGAGATTCTGTCTTCTGTTTGTTCTATTCTGCTGGATTGGCCTTCCTTTTGTTTGCAGTTCTTTTGTTCTTTTTTCTGAGGTTTTCCATATCCTGGCTAGTTTCTTCTTTAATGTTGTCTATTTTTGTCCTGAGTTCATTTATCTGTTTATTCATCATGTTCTCTCTTTCACTTTGGTGTTTATACAGTGCTTCTATGGTTTCCTTTATTTCTTCTTTTGCTTTTTCAAATTCTCTATTTTGTTGTCTTGGAATTTCTTGAGTGTCTCCTGTACATTTTGGTTGACCCTATCCAGTATCATCTCTATAAAATTCTCATTGAGTACCTGTAGTATGTCTTCTTTTAAATTATTCTTGTGGGCTTCATTGGGTCCTTTGGCATAGTTTTTCTTCATTTTGTTGGAGTCTGGATCTGAGTACCTGTTTTCTTCATTCCCCTCTGGTTCCTGTACTAATTTTTTGCTGTGGGGAAACTGGTTTCCCTGTTTTTTCTGTCTTCCGTCATTGTTTGGTGTTGTTACTGTCCCTGTACTGTGTGCAATTAAGTATTTTCTAGCTTGTAATAATAACAATGGTAATATTTAGAATGGAAGGGTGAGCTGAGATGGAAAGCAAGAAGTTAAAGAAAGGGAAAACAAATACACAGACAGAGGAGAAAAGAACAAGGTACAGACAAGAAGTTTCAAAGGTATAAACAGGGAGCTTTAGTGTACTAATCACAGTAAGCTGAACAGACATTAGAGAGACAGAGAGATTGAAAATCAAAAATAAAAAAATAAGATAAAAAAAATAAAAATAAGTAAATGAAAGAAAATCTATTATAAAAATGATTAAAATAAAATGAAAAATAGAAAATTAAAAAAAAAAAAAAACAAAAACCCCAAGTTCAAATGCAATGAAGTTTCAGTCTTAATAATTTGGGTGTCCGTCTCAGTCTCCAATCCTGGAGATGGTGTCTCAGATGTTGTTCTGTAGTTGTCTCATCAAAGGGGATGCATAAAGTAGAACAAAATTACACACACATACTCAAAAAAAAACCCCACCAAGTGTCCCAAGTTCAAATGCAATACAGTTTCAGTAAGTTTTTCAGCTTGCAGGTATAATTCAGTTGTTCTCTCATCAAAGGTAGGGAGACAAAGAAAAAAAAAAGAGTCTGGAGATAGTTCTGAGAATGGTACCTGCAGCTGTGGCTTGCCTGCCTGCTGCTGTCAGCCTGCTGTTGCTGGAGGCGTTATTTATGCAGATCTCTGGGGTGAGCTTAGCACTCACCTGGCCCTGCACATGTTGTTTACTCAGAGTTTTCCTGTGAGCCTCTGCTACAAGCTTTCCCCTTTCCAAGCACTGGGAAAGGTGACACTGCACCCATGTTCTCAGGCCTGTGTGTTTATTTACAGTTCATGTGGGAGGTGGGTCTTCCCCCTGTCCTGTGGAATTTTCCTCCCACCGCCACTTTCACAAGCTTTCCTGCTCCTGATTACTGGGCGGTGCTGCTGCTCCTGCCAGCAGCCATGTTTGTTTACAGTTCACGTGGGAATTGGGTCTTACCTCCTCTCCTGTGGAGTTTTCCTCCCTCCGCCACTCTCACCAGCTTTCCTGCTTCTGGTTGCTGGGCATGCCCCTGCTCCCGCCAGAGCCTCTCCTGCCTGCCCTGCTTGTTTATTTACAGTCCCAGGAAGGATTCCCTTCCCCCAATCTTCAGCACTCCGGGCGCCCCACCCTCTTTCCTGCGTGTATTTATTGCTTTTATTGCTTATTACTCAGTTTCTCTTTTTTCCCCAGTGAGGGTCTGTCTGTCCAGGGGGCTATGCTGCCCGGCCAGGCTTGTCTGTGGGAGTACCGCGGTACTGCAAAGCTCACCTGGTCCGTGTCTTCCCAAGCCTTCTGGGCGCCGGCAACTGGCGGCCCAGGGGCCCTCCTGGTTTCTCCGTTTAATGTGAAGTGGAGATTCTCTGCACCGGCTGGAGGTGTGGAGGGGTCAAAGTTATGCCTCTTCTCAGTGATTATGCCAGCGTCTCTCCAAGATTTCACTATAGGAAGCTCGCTTTCTGCTTCCACCCTCTAGCCACCATCTTGGAATCCCCCTCTGTTTCTTCTTTTTATCCATTTCTGTCTCTAGTGCTCTCTTCACAGTTGAGGATTAGTGATCACACAGTGGATTATTAATGACTGAGGATGAACACTTGGTAACATCTGTGTCTTGCTGCTATTATTCCCTGAGAGTCATCTTGTCAATAATGACCTCATGTGAGGATGAATTGACTGTAGTTGACTATTCTTAATATCATAGTCTTACCACTTTTGTTTCTACTGGAATAATGGTAGGAGTTCCTTGATCCACAAACCAAAGAATAAAGTATCTAGTTTTAAATACCTCTATAAGTCATTAGTATTGCCTGTGCTTAGGATAAAAGTAAGATTTTTTTGTCTTTCTCTAATTCATGTTCTTTATACTAGAAATGAGACTGAAATTTGATTTACCATTATATAAATTTCCATTAGTACAGTCTTCAAAAGCTCAAAGTATCACTAAATCAAACTTCTGAATACTTCTAAAAGCATGAGGAATGAGAATTCTTAGTTGCCAGTGGTCCAGTTTTAGACATATAGAATGGAAAGATATCAGCCCATTTATCAGTATAAATGAAATAAAATAAAAATCCCAGCTCAAAAAGGAGTACTTTGCAGGAACATGTCACATTTTGGCAAGGCTTTAGTATAGAAAATCAAGTACATATATTTATATCTGATAAAACGAGAAAAGCTATTTTCCTATGCTCAAGCATCCTAAAGGTTTGTTCTACTGCTGTTACAAAATGATTAATATGCTATAAAACAGTCTGAACTCTGAGCTTATGGTGGCAGTTTTACCCATAATCTTTCATGCTTACAAAAATGATTCATGCTAACATGCATGTGACATTCGGTAATATTTCACATTTAAATGCTGACAACTGAAAGAATACAGTTAATTTATATGGTGTTGAAGTATCTGAAAGTGGGTTTTGGTTTGGCTGTGACAAAACCTTATGTTTTAATCACCTATGATTATCATTTATATGACATTTTTAGAACACTGTTGCAGAGTCTTACATTTAATTCAGAAAACTTTGAGATAACTATTGGGTATATGGACAATAATTATTTGTAGAATTAAGAAACCAGATACCATAAAATTTTTAGTTTTACTTCTGATGCCAAATAGGTCAAAGAATGAAAATAAAATAAAAACATTAAAATTAAAAAACATAGAAATAGAAATTGTCTATGTGTTCTGTGTTTGGTTTAAACCATACTTCCCTTCTTTGACTTCCTGGAAATTATATAGCAGAAACTGGTGGCAATTCCTATTTTTTGACATCCCATATCATTTTTGAGATGTTCAGTTTCTTTTGTTTTAATCCAAGTCTACTGCTTTACAAATTCTGTTCATCCCTAAGCCATGTACGAAAGTATAATCTGATAAAGCACCATATCTCCAGGACCAATTGCCAGGTCCTAATGGTGCTCTTACACATTGACTATATGTCTAGTTGTAATCACCTTGAAATAATCATTTCTATCTTGATATAATACACCTGGGAATCACTTCTCACTTTTGGTTATGCACAATAAACCTGACCATGTCAAGTTAATTACTACACTAGTTCCTGCTGAAAGTGATCAAGTTAATTGAAGCCCACAGAATATGCATTATTTTCCTTGTTTTGTGTTCCTAATGGCATCTTTTACCTTTGTCTGACAGAGATTCTATAAAACACAATATTAAGTAAAAAACTCCAAGCTATCAGATATTGCAACTTTCTTTCAAGATGTTAAAATGCAGCAGCTCTCTGTATGTGTCTGCCTTTACTATTTTTTTACTTTTTAAAACAAACTTTGTTTGATGATGATGCAGAGAAATTGTGTTTCATTACATTGCTGAAAAAGGTGTATACATCTAAAGTCTTTTAAAAAGATTTTTGGGCACTATCTAATTAAGCTATGAATATATATAATTTATGACTCAATGATTCAATTCCTTGGCTAATATAAAACAGAAATGAGTGCTGTGTCTACCAAAAGATATATACAAGAATATTCATTATATTATTTGTAATGGCCTAAGATTGTAAACAAGGCAAGTAGGCATAGTCACTAGAGAGAATGGTAAACAAATTGTCATATATTCATAAAATGAAATTCTAACAAGTAACAAGTATTAGTAACTGGCATGTTCAACAATATGAATTTCATAGACATGATGTTCAGCAGAAGTCAGGAATAGAAGAGTATGAGTCTGCTCATGTAGAGGCATTTAAAATAACCTATGGTGTTAGATATGAGAATTGTGATCACTCTCAGTGAATTACTCAGTGATTACTGAAACAGAAAGGTGACAGGTGAACCTCATGCTATTCTGGAAATAGTCTAGCAAGGTAGAAGTTAAGAGGTGCAATTATCATTACAACTTCAGTGACTCTACACTGCAGATTCTTACAGTTACTGTGGTATTTTCTTCTGTTTTTCTTTTAGTGTCCTGAATTTAAAAGACCCCGGGACATTGCTGTTGACTGGGTTGCTGGAAATATTTACTGGACTGATCATTCTAGAATGCACTGGTTCAGTTACTATACCACTCACTGGACCAGTTTGAGGTACTCTATCAATGTAGGACAGCTGAATGGCCCCAACTGTACCAGACTTTTAACAAACATGGCTGGAGAACCCTATGCTATTGCCGTGCATCCTAAAAGAGGGTAGGTCAATGTCTTTGTATTTATTTATATTTATTAATATGAATATTTGTTTTTAGAGTCTGTGCTCTGTTGTTTTGTTTCTAGTGTTCAACATGTAATAGATTCACAAGTCTGATAAATCCCTGACTTCTCTTTCTGTACATAAGCATGTCTTTTCTGAATAAATGTTAGCACAAAATATTTGTTTCCTGAAAGATAGCTAGTTTGTTATACATTCAGTATACATGTAAGTGTCTAATTATGTCTCTCTTTGTATTTATCAAAATGAATTGAAAAGTAGTGACATTGATGTGATAAAACATAACTACTACTGTTAATCTACAGCAAACAATTAAATCTAAATATTACACATGTAAAACGTAGAATATTAGTGTTTTTAGCTATTGGTGTTAAGGAGTGATGAAGGCATATGCATAAATAATTTTCAACAATTCTGTGTAAATATTTCCTTTCTATTACTTAAAGAAGTAAACCTAAAAGCAATGACCAAAAATGTAACAGGAAAATGTTAAATAATGCCCCTAATCATCCAAAAATCATTAGATAATAAGTAAAAAGAGCAGCATCAATTACTAGAATTATATAGTGTGTTGTCTTCTAAACGAGAAAATGATTTCTATTTCAGAAAATAGTTACTTCTCTGTTTAAAAAATATATTAGTGCAAAATCCATAATAAAATGAATATTCTATCACAAGAGAGTTTCAAATGATTGAAATGATTATTTTCTGAGATTTTAATAGAGATTTCAAAATTGAGTTTTGTGTATCAAATAATTAACTGTTAAGCAATAATTCTCAAATTTTAGTGTGTTTAAGAAACACTTTATTTAAAATATTGATTTCCAAGGGCCCCCATCGACATTTCCATTCTGTTAGTTTCAAGTTGAGTCCAGGAATCTGTTTATTAATGGATATGGGGGGGGTGTCTGAAGTGACAGTGCTTAAGCGAGCAGAGACAGATTATAACAGCACCATTGCTAGGCTAACCTCCATGACCTACTCTCTTCAGGATGATGTACTGGACTGTCATTGGAGACCACTCCCACATAGAGGAAGCAGCCATGGATGGTACTCTGAGAAGGATTTTAGTACAAAAGAACTTGCAGAGACCCACAGGTATGACTTGCTTCTGACACATGCTAAAATGTGAAGCACTGTGCCAACCATATTAGTGTTAAAAATTCTTTCTGGTTTTGTTGACACCATAATCACTTTTTATAAGTGGATAAAATAATTTATAGTATCATTTTATGGATGTCATTAACATTTCATGTACTGTTTTCTCAACTTGAAAGTCAGGTTATTATCAAACTGCCAGTATGTTATGGGGGTGTTATTTGAAAACTGCCTAAGTTGTAAGACTATTAGTAGGATTTCATATATATAAAATATGGTAGATATAGTAATACATTAGGGTATTTTCATAGATATATGATGATGTTATTGAAATGGTAATATTCCTGGAGAAATGAGAGAAGAAATGGACAAAGAGGTGGCAAAGCATAAATAATTTCTATGAAAGACAGGTTTCATGATCCTTCACTTTTTTATCCAGAGCTCTTTTCGGTATGACTTCATTCTTCCTCCTAGACATGCCAGCTCAGCTATTATTCCAGACTTTCTGCACTCTTAGGACTGCTAGGGGCTTGACTTTGCTGCCTACATGTGCTTTCTCCCATGTTAATTCCCCCACACCCATCTTAGAATGCCCAGCCAGTACTTCTATGACAAATTCTCCCTGTTGTGTAAAGCCTAACTTTAGCATTTCTTCAACAATAAAATATTCATAGACTGAAGGGGTGCAGGGATTCTATACCACCCACCCTACTCAGTACACCTCCATTAAAAGAATGAAAATATTGTCTACATACACAGTCTAGATTATTTAACAATTATGCTTTGTAATACCTTTTGTAGTTTAAAATTTATTTATATTTAGAATTCATAGTCTCATTAACTATTATTGTGCCTATGCCTTGTTATTCAACTATATTGTTTTTATTCTTTACAAACAAGAAGAAGTGTTTGTAATTTAGTTTGTTTGCATGAGTATGTCTTTGCTCAGGTATTTAACAAATACTAATGAAACACTACATGGCAGAAATGGTTCTGAACACTTGAAGAAACCAGTTGCTACTCTTATGAAGCAAGTTCCAACCCTCATGAAATGTATCTTCCTGTAGAAGATAGATTATTATGTCTATCTTCTGGATAATGTCACACCTGTATAAGTGCTGTATGGAAAAAACTCATAGTAAAGGATGGACAATTATTAGGGATAACATTTTCATTATGATTTTCAGAGAAATCATCTGTAGAAAACTGATACTTAAGGAGTGACAAAAATAAAAGGAGGTAACTAGCCATGTGAATATGTAAGCAAAAGCTTTCTATGTAGAGAAATTGTAAATTCAGAGTTAGGAATGAGCTTAGATGTGTCAAGAATAGAATGATTAAAATATCTAGAATCATTTGGTCATTCAAGAAAGAGGTAAATAAGAAGTAGTAAGGTGACTAGTGCCCTGGACTGCACTAATAAGGACTATCTTGAAGAAAAGCCTCTGTAGGGTGTGAAAGAGGTAAGCAGAATGATCTGCTTCAAACAAAATTTTCATTCATAAAGCACTTTTCTTTTTTAACTTTTATTTTAGATTTATGTAATAGATGCAAAATTAGTAAAATAAAAGTCTCTGATGTTAACCTTTTACATAATCATAGTATATGTAACATGTTTTTATTTCAAAGAATGACTCAGCAACGAACCTGAGAATATGAGGATTCTTGAAAAAGTCATTTATGAAGGTACTTCTATTCAGGAGAATTCTGCAAAAGATGGAGAGAGAAGGGGAAAGATCTCAGGGAAACTGTGTCACAAGTAAAGACTAATCTTACCTTGAGGCTCCAGGGATGTGCTTTGGAGCATAAATTCTATGCCAGGCAATGGTGTCAGCTTTTTATATGCCTCATCAGTCATCGGTTGACCTTTGGGCCATAGCTTCCCAAGCAAGTCTGCACCAATTAGTTGAGCACAATTGTCTGGAGAAGGAGGTCAAGTGTTAGCCATAAGCTGCTAAAGCAGCAATTGGGGTATGTTTACCCTACCTTAGAAAAGAGATTGTAGAAGTTACCACAGCACCTCCTGCTGTGCATCTCCTGAAAAATGCATGCATTAAACATCTACTGGTTACTACTCTGCTCAACACTGTATATAACTGATGATGAACCTGAAACTGGCACCATTTCTTAGGAATTTTATATTTCAGAATGAAAAACAATGACTCATCTTTTTTTTTGAGCTAAACCTCCAGGATGACTATAAAAGTAACAGGAATATATAAAGAGAATGACATACATTAGAAGAGGCAGTTAACATTATAGATTTTAGAATGTTTTTTGAGGTTAAATGCAGAGATTGGAAATGTATCCAAGAGGGGTATAGCCAATAAATTAAAACCAATTAAACATCGGATTTCCTTGATTCATCAATCCTCCTTTTATTCAAAAAATACTAGCCAGGTGCTAATGGCTCACACCTATAATGCTTGCTACTTAGGAGACTGAAATCAGGAGGATCATAGCTTGTGGTTAGCCCAAACAAATACTTTATAAGACACCCATCTACAAAATAATCAGAGAAAAATGGATTGGAGGTTTAACTCAAGTGGTAGAGTTCACTATGCAAGCATGAAGTCAAGTTCAAACCCCAGTTCCATCCCTCTCAAAAATACTGAATGCTCACTATATGACACACATTATTATTCATAGGAAATACAGATCCCCATGTTCACATAGCTTGCATATAAATGTGTATTTTGAAAGCAACAAAAATGTGTGCATACATGCATGTACAGATTAGCACATGTATATAAATGGCACCAATAGAGAATAGTGGCATGCTGCAAAGATGTTACTTACAGCAGATAGGAAAGGCTTTTTGAAGACTTTGTTGTTAATAAGGTTATTCATTAAAACATGACAAGAAGTAGGGTTGGGAGTGATATTCCAGTGCAAAGTAAATAATAGGTTAAAGGGACCTAAAGTAGGAGAAGGAATTAGAGGAGGGCCAAAGAGCATAGTAAACAAGGAGTGGTGAGAAGGGGCAAGTCCCTACAGGGTCTTCAACATTGGCAAGTACCATTGACTCATTTTAAATAAGTAACAGGACCTGTCAGGCATACATAGGGACATGTCTGGAAAGCAGGGTCTATGAGACTGTCTACCCCAAATATGTGACCATGTGTGTTTTCTGCTCAGAACATTTGCCTTGAGAATGTCTGTTCTACTTACAGAGATAAACTCTGAGAAGTCGTTAATGGCTAACTAATAATTACTGAGCACCTAGTATATGCCAGGTATAATTATTGGCATTTGAATGTCAATGGAAAACTCAGTCATAGGTCCCTGTCTTCTAGTTTTTACATCTAGTAGACAGTTGGAATCTGGGAGGAGACAGTCAAAACCTAGTATTTAAAAAGTAAATTACAAAGCTAGTTATTAGGTGTTTAACACCATGGAAAAAATAGTTAAAGTAGAGTCAGAAGAAGACTTGGCAATGGGGGAGGCAGGTTGCAGTATAACATTTTCAGTCCAGTAAAGTAGGTAATTGAGCAGATCGTATGCTGTTATTCAACCATAGGCAAAAGTTGTAGGCATGGATCTGACACAAACTAAATTATTCAGATGTCTCACAGGTACTTGAAGTTTTTAGTCCTGAAGTCTACAGTAAATCTTTAAATAGGTATCCTATTTAAGATCCACTATAAATCTTTAACACTAGTATTTATATTTACCCACATCAAAAATTTTCATTAAGTATGTTTTGTTAGTTTCATTTTTTTCCTCATTGTGTATCAGTTAAAATTCTTAAAATCAAGAGTAAATCCACAAGTCACATGTAGAAATCTGTTGCTTTTCTTTATGGCCATTTGCAAAATGTATGACTTTATTTTTTGACATACATTTGCACATATTTATGAAGTACACTTAGGGTCTCACTCATAAGTGATAGTGGAAAGAGTTTATTTTTTAGAAGCTGAGAGTAGAATAGTGGCTACCAGAGATTAAGGAGAATAAGAAGAGTTCTGAAATGGGTACAATGCCATTGTTTGATAGGAGTAAGTTCTAGTATTTTATGGCACAACTGGATGAAAATGATGGTATTGCATTGTATTACTCAAAATACAGCAGTTGAATCCAAATGAATGACTTTCTTTATATTCATGGTACTGGTTTCATCTTTCTAGCCAGTATTTTATTACATTGAGATGATCTCTCAATGTTGTCTTTACAATGACTAATAACTCCTAGGTATTTCTGTGCTAAATGTTATTGCTATGCAAAGAAGTCAAAAACAGTCATAAGAGATTTTAAAGAAATAATGGAGAATTTAATTTTCACCATTTGCATACCACTTGAAAGCAATAATGAAAGTTGAAAATCATTAGGTCATTTTTCTGCATTTGCATGCATTGGTACACTTTATATGTGTACTTATTCATCTATCTCCTATGAGATATCTTTGCATTGCAAGTACTTTCCTTTATTTATGCCAGTAAGCTCTTAGACCTCTTGGTCCCAATTTTTTCTCTGTTTTCTTGGTAAGTATAAATGTTTGTTCTAACTTCAAGGTATCATACTGAAATCAATAGTTATAATAAGTCTCTTTCTCTGTCAGGGTAAAATCTTGTTCTTTGTGTTATGGACTTGAGGTAATTTTGCTTTTTTCTATCCAGGGATGAATATGTGCACTGTCATAGAGTACATTTGGTTATGCTCTGTTCTTTAACAAGGTACACATGATATCATTTAGAAAAACAAGTAAATAAAAGTAAACTTTTTTCTTTTCATTTATATAACTCTTTTGAATTATAGGGTTAGAATTCTACCATACAATCAAATAACACACCACCAGCATCACCACTGCAAACTTTCAAAAATTATAATGAGAATACCATAATTCTGTAGGACTTTATTGAACTCATTCTCCTTATTTCTGGAACTACATTATCTACTGTTTAACAATTGAGTAAAGTCATTAACTTAAAAAATTTTTATTATTGTGCTGGGTAGGGGTACATTGTGTCATTTCAAAGGTTCTTACAATATAGAGATAGATA